CGTGATGGATGTCAGTGCAGAGGTTTCTACCATTGATTCAGTTCCGATGTTGAGGGATTTTCGGATGCTTTTCTTGTGGCCGGGCAGGTCGCCGGGCGAGGTTGTGGATTTCGGTATTGATATGGTGTCGGGCACCATATCGTATCGGTAGGAGTTGTAGTAGTGGAAGGAGCAGCTTCAGGCTTCCTTGATAATGAGCTCGTTGGCAAGCCAATGTGGATGCGTGTTCTAACTTGAGTCGGCTTGGTTGGCCCCGAGTTGTATTGTTAAGGGATAGTTTGATCCGACCGTTGTTTAGCTTACTAGTGCTCTGGGAGATCTATGAGTTGCTTTTCGGTGTTGTGAGACGTTATGATTTGTTGGTTATGGGCACATGTAGTGCGGTTCTATTGGGGATTCATAGTGAGAGTCGAGCGGGAAGAGTAATTGGGTGTTGCTCGGTAAATGGAGTATTGGTTATGACCTATCGGGTTGCGTGGCGTATGTTATTTGTTTCACCGTGGGTGTAATGAATTGCTTTGGTTCCAGACATCAAATTGTGCGTGGCTGTCAATTTTGAGCACAGTGACTTGAGGTGTTTCATGTGTAGTAGTGTTTGGATAGGATCGCGCATTGTAGCGAGGCCACGTGGAGATATGACCCTTCGGGGTAGATTCAGGTGTTCTATTTCTATGATGTGAGACGGGGTCTCAGCCATATGTTGTGATGGTACTGATGAGCTTGAGGTACAGCTCTCTCGTTTGAGTCATTTTTCATGATTTGAGTATGTTCAGACCGTTTCTTATTGGCGTGCGTATTATGCAAGTTGTGGCTTAGGCCTGTATTGAGGTATCATATCACCAGAGTGGTGTGTTGGATTCGAGGTGAGCGTTGGGGTCACTAATGAATACGAACGAATTTGATTTCAGCTTGTTGGAAGGATAATATCGAGGTTCGGCTCGGAATCTACTGTGGTATTAGTCAAAAGGGAAGTGGTCTTCATGAATGGTTGATCTGAGAAAATGGTTACGGTTTATTGCGTGTTTCATTTATCGTTGGCAGTATATGAAAGTGTTGGAATAAGACCCTAGTTGATAAGAGGTTTTCTACCGGTATTCGGGTGTTGTGGGCAACTGCTGTGAATAGAGGTTATCGTTTCGAGTGTTTGGGTTATGTAGTATATCATATGATTGCACCTGAGGTTGCAGGTATGGGTTATTACAGCTGGTTTGGGCTTATTCTGAGTATAGATGTGAGGTTCTGTACTTGTGTATGATTTCGGAAAGTGCAATGTGGTTCTATGGTTTATGGACTAGATGGATTGTGAAATTTCAGCTATGTTGTGTAATCGGACCTATGCGAGATAGGGTGACGTGGGATCACCCCGGGTATATGCTTGGTAAGGTCATTCAGCTATTGGTTGGCTTCTAGGACAACTCTGGGTACGCTCGAGGACGAGTGTTCGTTTAAGTTGGGGAGAATGTGACGACCCGACCTGTCGTCACGTGAGTTACCGCCCCGTTTCCCCCATTTTCTATTTCTTTATGCTTCATTATCAGTGTTGGGTGTGAACGAGTTGATTTGGATTTGGTTCTAGAAGGAACTGAGACACTTAGCCTCTTTAAGGAAGGTTTGTTTTGGAAAAGTCAACCGGACGTTGACTTCTGTGTTAGAGGGCTCGGATATGAATTCCGATGATTCGGTTAGCTTCGGGGGATGATTTGTGACTTAGGAGTGTGATCGGAAGTAATTTTGGAGGTCTGGTGTAGAATTAGGCTTGAATTGGCGGAGTTAGTATTTTGGCGAATTCTGGTTGATAGGTGAGATTTTGATCTGAGGGTCGGAATGGAATTCCGAGAGTTGCTATAGCTTCGTAATGTGATTTGGGATGTGTGTGCAAAATTTCAGGTCATTCGGAGGTGATTTGGTAGGGTTTCTGGTCGAATACGTGTTTCGGAAGTTTTAGAAGAACTTAGGCTTGAATTCGATGTAATTTGATGGTTTTGGTGTTAATTGATGTGTTTTGATGATTGGAACAAGTTTGAATAACGTTGTAGGATGCATTGGTATTTTTGGTTGAGGTCCCGGGGGCCTCGGGGTGAGTTCGGATGGTTAAACGGAGAGTTTTGGAATTTTTGCATGTTGCTAAGTCTGCTGCAACTGGTGTTTTCGCTTGTGCGAAGCTTGGACCGCAGAAGCGGTCTCGCTTGTGCGAAGATTGGACCGCAGAAGCGGTGATGGGACCTGGGCGTTGATTCTGCAGAAGCGGTTGGGGAAGCCGCATCTACGAAGCTGCAGATGCGGGATTTAAGTTGTAGAAGCGGGTTTTTAGGATTATGGGAATTTCCGCAGAAGCGGAAGGAGACCGCAGAAGCGACATTTTGACCGCAGAAGCGGTTTCTGCTGGACAGAAATATTTAATTCATCTTCGCAAAATTTTGAGAAAAGTAACATATTTCACTTCGGACTTGGAGAGTTTTTGGGCGATTTGGAAGAGGGTTTCAAGGGCTTTGATCAGGTATGAACTCTTGGAGTTAAAAACATGATTCTATGGTGTAAATACATGGATTAGAGCTGGAAACTTAAGAAATTAAAGGTCAAAAAATGGAGGTTAGGGCTTGAACTTAAGAGAGCAAAAATTTGGGTTTTGAGGGGGTCAATTGGACTCCGATTTTGGTATTTTTCATATGTATAGACTCGTGGCGAGATAAGGAACCCGTTGGTGTAAGAATTTCTAAGTTTCGAGGAGTGGGCCCGGGGCTCGAGTTTTGCCAATTTCGGGATTTTTAATATTTTTCGATTGTTTTCGATTGGGTATTGTTCCTTTGGCATATTGCGACGTATTCATTGTGATTTTGGTCAAATTCGACGCACGTGGAGGCCGATTTGAGGGGCAAAGGCGTCGCGAGCTAGAGATTTCGCCGGTTCGAGGTCAGTAATGATTGTAAATGATATTCTGAGGGTTTGAAATCCCGGATTGGACATCATAGTGCTATGTTGAGGTGACTTGCACGCCGGATAGCGAGCGTGGGGTAGAGCACCGTTGTGGATTATGACTTAGTCCATCCCGATTAATGATTTTACCACGTATTTGATTGAAATTAGTTTGCTATCATCATTATTTGGGCTGAATGCCATATTTGGGCTTCGTGCCAACTATTTGAACCCTTCGGGTATTGTTGTTGATAATTCCTCACTGATTTAATTATATATATTTGAACTCAGTCATGTTATTTCCTACTGTTTTCAAAACTCAGCCATGTTCACTCAGTTTTAATACTCAAATGATATTTAAATGATGTTTTGGGCTGAGAAACACTGTTTTATTGTTGCCCGAGTGGCTTATGTGATTTTGTTGACTGAGTAAGGCCGAGGGTCTGTATTGTGAGGATACTTATGGATCGGGCTGCGCGCCGCAGCACTGTTATACTGATAGTGATGTGAGGCTGAGGGCCTAGTTTGATGCCACGAGATGGCTTGATATTGCGCTTGGGCCGTAAGGGGCCCCTCTCGGAGTCTGCACACCCCAGTGAGCGCCGTCGACGATAAACGGAGCGGGCTGCACGCCGCAGCGATATGTGGAGCGGGCTGCACGTCGCACTGTTTGATGTGTTTACCTTATTTCATTGTCTGCCATTATATGCTGTTTGTGCTACTTCTTGCAATATTTACCTGTTGCTCTGATATTATCTGATAACCGAGTGTGGCGCCCGAGAGATGGACTTCTGTGCTTATCTGCACTATTTGTTTTGCATTCAATTGCATAATTGTTGAAAAAGTCATTTTCAAAAGAGGTTTTAAACTAAGCTAAGATATTTCTAAAGTTTTTTTCCAGCTTCATTGCTTTCTCTCAAAGGGTTTTTCACTGTCCCTATATAGCATGATGGTTTGCTTTACGTGATTTTTTACTGCTCAGTTGTTATTTACCCTTATTACTCACTGAGTTGGAGTACTCACTTTACTCCCTGCACCTCGTGTGCAGTTGCAGGTATTTATTCACCCGGTAGCGGGTATTGGCTGTTTGGAGGCAGAGCTGCAGTAGTCTAGCGAGGTGTCTGCCAGCGTTCGCAGCACCGTTTCTTTCTATGTTATTCATTATTCATGTTCAGTGTATTTCTAGACTTGTAAATATAATTACATTCTTATAGATGCTCGTGACTTGTGACACCCTGATTAGTGCTGTGTTGGGTTGTATTTCCGCTAATTAATACTATTAAGTCATATTCTGTTTAATTATGTTTAACTACTTTTGAAAAGACGAGTTGGGTTAGTTGGCTGGCCTCGTCTTCACGAGAGGCGCCATCACGACCGGGTCCGGGTTTAGGGTCGTGACACATAATCGGCCTAAATAGATATAACTTAGCTAAAAAAAGAACGCAATGAAAGCAAATGGATTCATATAGGCGAAAAAACTAGTTGGGATTATGACTTAGTAATAGTTGTTACACTCACATTCGGGCGGATCTAGGATTTGAACCTTATGGGTTCCCAGCATTTGGGCAAAAGTGATACTTTAGCAAGTGAGAAAGTTTTTTAATGTTGGCTGGAAAGATGCCTATGGGTGCTGTTTAGTGGAAAAAAAACAAAAGTGCCTTTATCAAGTGTTCAAAGGGATTCGAACCCCCGCCAAATATGTAGGAACATAGCTTAAGATGGTTCCTTCGTTTGCGATTGGACCAACACCTGATTTTGCTTATGGGTTCCAAACTAAAAATACGTATACATTTAATAAATTTATCAGTACAAATACAAGGCTCGGGTAAAAGTTACTGGGTTCCCGGGAACCCACACCCGATACTATGGATCCGCCCCTGTACACATTAGCTCTTGTTTTTTGGTCAAAAGACATAATTCTCTCTAGATGCATGTATGTTTGCGTATGATAAGTATAATCTAGTGTTCCATTTTCCCAAAAAAAGGCACTTAATCTTTGAATGAAATACGTATGGGCAAATAGAATGGACACGCACTCAAAAGTGTGGTGTACAGTCAATAATAGGAGCAGTAATACAACTTCTGGAGTAATAAAGATGCACAGATACCTGAGGCAGTGGCAGAATTGTAAACCCCAAGTGTCTGCGGGAATGCATGGACTCTAAAGTCCAACAGCTTAGTGTTATATTACTGCATCGAAAAAATAAATAGACAACACGTAGGAGATATTCTCAAGGTAGGAATCAGGGTATATGACACTGAGAGACACGCAATAGCATTTCAGACCTCATCCATCATACTATCAGTACAACCATTACACCAAACATCGAACTGCTTCCGGCTTAATGTTATCAGGAGCAGTGCATAATCAGTTGCCACCTTCATTCTCTCCTTCCACCCAAATTCAGCTAAAAGTGTGTAACAGAGTGTTAGCAAGTGCAAGAAAAAACTAATTATTCAGACTCCCATTATTCAACAAAGTTCAAGTAAGTCAATACCAGAACGAACTGCATCCCACAAGGGTGTCTTGAACTTCATATCATAAACTACAGCGAGCTTCTTGTCAAAACAAAAGCCAATCAACTTCATCAACCAAGGATGAGACTTAAATTCTGACCTTTCAAGTAATACAATTTCGTCCTGTTGCAAAGTCACAAAATTAGTGAAATGACAACACAGACAGAACCAATCAGTGAAATATAGCATTTACTCACCCGGAATTTTCGTGGATACGAATCATAGCTTATAACCCCAGGAAAGATAAAATCCGATGTTTTGACAGTAACCTCCCGCATTCCTTCACCGTCATCTATAAACCCCCGGAACAATCTGCCATATCCAATGTGCTGGATAAAATTCTTTTCACAGAACCTATTAGTGATCTTCTCCAACTCATCATGGCTCAAATTTTTTGCATCACCCACGTTGAAACCTTGAGAAGGACCCCTGCATATTTTTTTCATGTTAGCTTAGCCGCTAACAGGAAAGATGTGGAACGAATCGACAAAACGAATGTCCAGTAAGGACTGTTATAATGGTGAGTAAAATTAGACAAAGATAGTAAAACAACAGAAATATTATTTAATTCAAGGTCATTTTTTATCTTCGAACACTCTTTGCAGATCGCAAAATGCAAAGTTTTAATAGTAAAGGGCAAATGATGCAATAAGTTTTGAAGAGTTTTATACCATACAACACATCAAAAGGGATTAAAAAGTAATTCGAGCATAAAACCTTATGTTTGCAACAAAAATTAAGCTGTACATTACTAATTTGACAACTCCTAAAGATACATCACAGTTATGAGCATCAGTATTCAAGATTCCAGTGTTTCACGGAGGAATTTCCAACACCTCCAATGGGCATGCATCAGTTCACTAAAAATATTTTACTAGTCAAAAATAAATTTCTGGAGGCATGTGTATCTTAAAGACTCCTGATTATACCTAGGATTTAAAAAGAGATTAAATCAAATAAATAAATAAGGAAGAGTGCGTGCTGTGATATAAATTGAAGAACAAGAGAAGTAGGTGTCCTAAATAATCGTAGAAAATAATAGAGGGGAAGAGAGATTACTCCTTTGCAATTGCATCGTATTCTTCCAGAGCACGTTTATAGTTTTGAATGAAATCTTCTGGATCAAGCCGGCCACATCTAGCCATAGGCAAGCATCGAATATTGTCTCTTTCATAGAGAAATATGTTGCTGTCTAGCTTTCCCAATTCCAGCAAGAGTGCCTCTACGTCGTCCGCCATTTTTAGCCGAGTTTCCTTTTTCTTTTCTCCTTTTCTTTTTTACTACACAATTTTTCACCTTGTTTGGAAGGTTGTTACCTATTGTATTATAGATTATTATTTGATTGTTATTTAAATTTTATTATATTATATATAAAAAAAATATTTTATGTAGCTACCGAATTGGTATAGTTGAGTCGATACCTTCTATTTTTTCTCATCTTATTTTTAAAATAATATTTTATACATTAATTCTACTTCGTACCTTATTTTTAAGGAAGAATTACATCCTATGTTAGTCGGCCCAATCTCACAACCAAAAATAACCTATGTTTTTAAACTTTACTCGACATAGCCCATTTTGCAGATAATGCGTAAAAAGGATTTCATCCGTTAACCTAGCGTGGAAGAGAACTAGACACCCTCCTTTATCCATTTTTTTCGTTCTTCAACTTTCAGAGTAAAGATATCGATGACGAAGTCAATCGAGAGGTCGCCGGCAAAGTTAACGATGTCATCGGAAAATAAATATGGCGGTGGATAACATCCTTTGCCCATTTTTTTCCTTCAATTTTCAAGGTAAAGAGGTTGACGATAAAGTCAGTGAAGTCATCGGAGAATGAATCTCCAGTGGTGAATAGCCGTTTTTACCCACTTTGTGTTATTTTTGTTCTGTCGGAAAAGAATCCATTTAAAATTGAACCATTTTGTGTTTTAGCAAATGATTTGCTTTGGTGTTGTATTCAGACAATTTTCAAGTTATTCAGATGATGTCCCAGTTATTTATCTTCTTTTATAAAACAATTCCATCTCCATCTTTTCTCCTCTTTAATTTTCAGATTAACTTCCTCTGAAAAACTCTCTTTTGATANAACCCATAGGTCTAAACATTTAACCTATTTCAAGATTTATTTTAAAACTAAAGAGTTAATTTTGATGCCACTCTCAATTTGACTATAATTCTTTTATTTCATGTTTGTTGAAATAAGACGTTCACTAAAAAAATCATTTGTTATTGCAGAATCCCTACAATAAAAATGACAGATGAAGGCAGTTAAGACTTTAGGGGGTTTCCTTACTAGCTAAATGAATTGAAAATGACAGAAAAAGGAAGGAAAAAGAGAAAGAAGAGAGGTGCTAAATGAAGTGAGATGGATAGAAAAAGAGGAAAAGAAAAAGAAGGAATTACATTCTATGTCAGTCGGCCCGATCTTACAATCAAAATAGCCCATATTTTTAAATTTTACCTGACATAGCCCATTTTGCAGATAATGCATAAAAAGGATTTCATTGGTTAACCTAGCGTGCAGAGGAGAACTAGACAGCCTCCTTTACCCATTTTTTTTTCTTTCTTCGACTTTTAGAATAAAGATATCGATGACGAAGTCAATCGAGAGGTCGCCGGCAAAGTTAACGATGTCATCGGAAAATAAATATGGCGGTGGATAACATCCTTTACCCATTTTTTCCTTCAATTTTCAAGGTAAAGAGATCGACGATAAAGTCAGTGAAGTCATCGGAGAATGAATCTCCGGTGGTGAATAGCCGTTTTTACCCACTTTATGTTATTTTTGTTCTGTCGGAAAAGAATCCATTTAAAATAGAAACATTTTGTATTTTAGCAAATCATTTGCTCTGGTGTTGTATTCAGACAATTTTCAAGTTATTCAGATGATGTTCCAGTTATATATCTTCTTTTATTAAACAATTCCATCTCCATCTTCTCTCCTCTTTAATTTTCAGATCTAACTTCCTCTGAAAATCCCTCTTTTGATATTTTGGTACTGAAATAGAGGTGTAATATTGAACATAAGATGTGTTCTGGTATAAATATTGTATAACCACTATTTATACACACTTATACATTATTGTATAATTGTGTATAAATGTGTATATTTATATATAAATGTGTATATATGTTATAACATCACATAATTATTTATTTCTCAATGTATAAGGGTATATATACATTGTCATTATATAAGAGGCCTTCATGGAAGTTTGACACTTATCTTCTTCTTCTTTCTCTTATTCTTTTGATATACATTATTATACATTCCATATGCAAGTTTATACATAGTTATACATCATTATACATGTACTGCATATGTATAATTAAATTAATTTTTTTCATGTTTTCTTACTTTTTCTAGAATAATTCATGTATAAATCTACTTTCCTTGTTGATTTCTCCGCCAAATCACGAACTTGCAACAATTGTTTTTCAATTTTACCATATAAGTTGAATCAACGAAATTGAAAAAATACAAGCTACTCGGTTCTTTATCTTGTTTACCATTTTTGAGGAAGAATCCTTTTGGGAAAAGTTACAAACTTGTCTATGCTCACTATTTGTGATGATTTTTTACAATTATGCGTAGTCTGTTTTAGCCCAAACTCTTTATTGTAATTATATAATTGCAATTTTTGCAAGCAGCTCGAGCAATTTTATGTTTTGATTATAGGATGATATATTAGGAGAGATCACTAAAGACAAATTGGGGGAGAAAGATCAAAATTAGATGACGGAAGAATTAGAAAATCTCATGACTTCATCTAAATAAGATAATTGTCCTGATTAAACTCTGTTGCTGAATAAAAAAGCCAGAAGATACTCTTTTTTCAAATCTTAGCCTATTATTTTTGGGCTACAGATTTGTAAAGTTATGACTTGGCTATTATGTTGCAAGTCATATGTGTGAGTTGTATTTATGTGAAATTATCCCTATTTTTAATAATATTATAAGTTTATTCTTCATATTGTTGGTATATCGCAACATGACGTCAAATAATACAATCAATACAATCAATACAAATATTGTCTATATTAAAACAATATAATATAATACAATACAATGTGATATGACACATTATGAAATAGCAGGTAACAACCATCCAAACAAGTAGTTCATTAAGAAAATATCAACACCTTTGAGAGTTTTTTTTAAGCTTCTACTATTTTTAGACTATTTCAGGTAGCTGGTGCAATTTTTAAAAGTGTATTTTCTACTTCTTTTGTTTATTATTATTTTTTTTGTTTTTGTTTTTGGGGATTTGATAGGATTTTTTTGGTGACTCTGAACTTTTTGTTGGTCACAATTCTGTTGAATTTAGCCGTCGAAATTTGATAAATATTTGATAAAGAACAAAAAATATTTACTTGTGGTAAATTTAAAGGGTTAAAGCTGCTAAAAATATATTTAAGTAACTATTTTAAACCAAATAATGACACAAGTTGAAAGATAAAAGAGAGAAAGAAGAGGGAGAGGAAGAAAGCTATGGCGAACAAGCTGCTTAGCGAAATGGGTCTTCCCAAGTCTATTGCCAACATTTTTGCTGCTCGTAACCTTATTACTGCTAAGGTCTCCTTTTAACCCTTTCTTTCTTTGTTAATTTTACTTATGCTAAATATATTTACACATTTTTTTTTTCAAGTTTAAGAATCTTTGCTGCCTTCTGAATTCTTCATTCATTAGCATTTAAACTATGTGAGCCTGTTTTACTTCTTTGTGTTCTTCAAATTTACGTATGGAATGTACAGTTTCATCCCTAAGTTTGATCCTATTCAGAAGGGCAATTATGTTTAAAGATTGATATTTCTAAGTGTAACAAAGTCTATTAACACATGTTGAGGTGCAAATTTTAACATCCAATGCGTAGTTTTTGGCTTTTAAGCTAAATTCAGTTTCTACTTGTAATGTTTTATGAATAAAAGAGCTCATTTTTGTGTTTTCTTGAAATTCACTGGTCGAGGGAAGATGTTGGGGTGGGGGGTGGGGGTGGGGGTGGGGTGGGGGGTTGTTATGGCGACGAGTAGTGAAATATAGGAAGTGGGAACACTGTATTAGATGAATGTGCAAAGGAATTTGGTATTGAGTATTGGGGTAGGTAATTGAAGTGAAAAACTAGCAATGAGTAGTGAAACATAGGAAGTGGGAACACTGTATTAGATGGATGTGCAAAGGAATTTGGTATTGAGTATTGGTGTAGGTAATTGAAGTGAAAAACTAGCAATGAGTAGTGAAATATAGGAAGTGGAAACACTGTATTAGATGGATGTGCAAAGGAATTTGGTATTGAGTATTGGTGTAGGTAATTGAAGTGAAAAACTAGTGATGCTTGTATTTTGGATGTTTATTGATTTGATACTCTGAGGTGTTCAAGATGTTAGTAAGAAAACATTTTATGCAGTTTTAAGTCAATCAAAAACTGTCAAACAAGAAAAATACTTTCCTAGTTTTTACAATAAATCAGATGAAGTATTTACGAATCTGTTCATTGCTCTGATAAGCACTAATGAATTATCCCAAGCATGCGTCTAACTGTCTATGCTGAGTGCGAAAACGAGATCACACAAGGAAAAAGTCTTTTTTATATGGAGCACCTTTAGTTTCTTGTTTCCCCGCAGGTAGTTGTTTCTTATATAAACAAGACACAGGTGTGCATGTGTGTTTCATTAGATTCTGATTGTTGCTTTCATATTTCAAGTGCGCATGTGTGTATCATTTTTCCTTATAATTTAGTACCTTGGTTTTAAGTGCAGTATAGATTTTCACCTAGAATACGGTGAGGGGATCAATTTTATGTATCCTGTTTTGAACCTCATTAACTTCCTGACAAATTGCTTTCAATGTGTCTCCATTAATTTATGCTTGTTCTATGGTCCCAGGACGTATTGTCATTGACAGAATTCGAGTTGATGGAATTGTTAGATGTGGATTTAGCTGTAGTAGCATCAGCAGTGGCACACATCAGTGAAATTACATGTCCTCCTTACCAAACTGTAAGTTTATAAAGGCAAAATCCGTCGTTCATTTCTTCAAGAGGAGATGCAAACTCACTTTTCCCCCTCCTCTTCGTGTGACTTAGGCACTTTCATTGCTGGAACAGAGGGTTCAAAATGAGAGAATGGCTGGCCATCTTCCAACTTGTCTAAAAGGACTCGATAATGCTTTGTGTGGTGGAATTCCTTTTGGTGTTGTGACAGAGCTAGTGGGTCCGGCAGGCATTGGTAAAACTCAGGCACGATTGTCTGCTTCGAACTTCTACATTACTTTATTTTCCTTTTTATGGTAAGTTGGGCCTGAAAAGAAATGCTAAGTGGAGTACATCGAGAGAGATTTTCATATTTTTTAATCTGCTATCTTCCCATAATAGTGCTATGTGTTTCTTGCTTTTAAAACATTTGTTGCCTTCGGTAAATTTTTGATCGAGCTTCTTCTGTCTTAAATTGCAGTTCTGTTTGAAGCTTTCGTTATTAGCTTCTCTTCCATCAAGTTATGGCGGCTTAGATGGTTCTGTAATTTATATTGATACAGAATCCAAGTTTAGTTCAAGGAGGTATTTTCACTTTTCAGGCTTTTGGTACTGAGGTTGCTGTGTTATAAGTGGAAATGGTGACCATTCTATTTCTCAAGTGTCTTCCCAGGATGATAGAAATAGGATATAATAGCTTCCCCGAAGCATTTCACGCTGAAGGGATGGCGCAGGAGGTATGCAGCATTTTGTCTAGTGCTTTCTGCCATATTTTTTTAATTAATTAAGCACTCTGAAATGACAACCATGAACAGGGGAGCGAAAGGTTTTAAATCAGTTTCCAGTTTAAGTCTATGAATTGCTTGCCGGAGCTGGTTTATATTACTAGCAAGTCCAGGACATATTACTTGGAATCGATTTCTTTTCCCAAATAATTTTATTTCCCCCTTGCTTTGACTAACTTTGTAGTGTAAGTGAGCCATGAAAATGGTCATGGTAGGATGCAAGGTCTAGATCTCCAGTCTCTTCTATAACTTGATGCATAGATAATCATGACCATTTCTAAGTTGACTTTTCTCCTTTAATGATTGACTTGCAGATGTCTATAAACATGTCTCTTCCATGTTCAAGTATGTCTGTGTGTCTTTGCTCACTCTGTCCCTAAAATAAAATGATGGTGAAAAGGAAAAAATTTAAAGAGTCGGACATCTTTTAATTTTGCAAGTCAACTATGTCAGAGCATGTAGTATAGCAGACCTTTTGACATATCTTGATGCTGATATACCCTTTAATGTTTTCCGTGTAATGCAATTGAGTTGAAGAGTTTAGTGAGGATGTTCCGCTTGATGTTGCAGATGGCTGGAAGGATCCTAGTTTTAAGACCGACATCACTTTCTGAATTTACCGACAGGTTTGTTGCAGCTTTACCTATGTGCTGTTATTCTAAGTTTTGATGCAGTAATGAACTCATGAATATTTAAATTCTGGATTATAATGTTGGAAGGAGTACGAGTCCGTTAATGAAATTGACTTTCTTCGTGTTCATCTTCTCTTCTCTGAAGGGTGGACTTAGCCTCTCAATCACTTCCATTGAAGGTTAGGATGAAAGGTCCGAAGGAGTTATATAGTTTATTACAGTTGGTTAGGTGGTTGAGAGGAAAGCGGTTTTATTAGAAAATAAATTGTTTGGTGAATGATGGTCATGAACATGCTAAAGAGTAAATCCAATGGGAAGTCATATACAATGTTGTGTTAAAGCCCGTATATCTCCTGTCTTATAACAACCAAGTGACCAACAAAACATCTACGCAACCTTTATATGTTGTGTTCATAATGCATGTATTTTTTTGTTTAGTTCCTGTACTATAATTTCTTTTTCCCTCTGTTTGATCGTACTCTTGTCCAGTGTTATCAAAGGCGCTCTTAAGCCCTGAAGCGAGGCTCAAAACATATTGAGCGCTTCGCCCCGCTTAGCGGGCGCTTCACCGTTGTCATCAAAGCTCTAAGGCATACTTTTCCTTACCAATGAGCGTAATCCTGAAGAGGCCACATTAACCAATTGATATTTCACTTTATTGTAAATTTTCTTCAATTTCTTAGTCTATATATTTGGTATTCATGCTTATAGATATTAGTTTTGGACTACACATACATATTTGTAGTTTTTCTCCATTTGCGCCTTTCTTCGTTAAAGCTCACGCTTTATTTGCGCTTAAAGCCCCAACATACCTAAGAACTTTTTTGCGCTTTTCGTCTTTGATAACACTGTTGTTGTCCAAAACAACCTGTTCTTGGATAAAGTAATAACTCGTTAATTTTTTGAGAAAATACCGGTATAGAAATAGTAGAAAATATACTTTAAATAAGGTTCTTTACAGTGACGCCCAGATTCTAGCTTTCATAACACTCATCCTCAGTTGTGGCCGGCATTGACTGCTGTCTGAAATTCTAGCTTTGATAACACTCATCCAAATTGTGCAAGTATTGGAAGTTTTCCTTTTTTACAAATTATAGTCTGTGTTCTGTCAGCTTGCAGAAAATCAAAGTTTCACTATTTCAACATGGTGTGAAATTACTGATCATTGACAGCATGGCTGCTCTTCTTGCAGGGTAATTCCTTTTTCACTTTTCCTGCGTAATTTCTCAACATGTACTTCCTTTGGGGTACAACTTCTACTGGAGTTCTAAACTTTTCACCTAATATCCACTTGAAAAAATTGTGAGTATCTTGGTAGTCCAGATAACATCAGTCTGAGTACTTATAAATTTGTGCTCTTAGGTTGTATACAAGAATAATGTGTAATGCTGTATCAGATTCTATTGCTTTCCTAGGAAAATTTATGCAATCATTCTCAATGTGAAAATTTGGGTCTTAATACATACTGTGTCTGTGGAATTCATGCTAACCTGGTTTTGTTGGGAGCATATTCTATAATCTCTTTGATTATGCAAAAACAGAGATTTGACACGTGGTGCTCAGAATCCTCTTCTTGCAGTTGATGTGATTTCACGTTATGCGCCAATGTTGGTTTAAGAATTCTCTGAAAACTCAGTAGCATTATACTGTTTTCCACATTGTCTTTTTAACCATAGTAATAATTATGAACTTTTCACTCTCTCCAGTGAAGGTGTACAAGGACCTCAGAGACAACACTCATTGGGTTGGCATATATCATTTATCAAGTGAGAATTTTGTCTTTCTGAATGAATATCTATAAAGTATCTCTTTCTTCTCTCCACCGATCCAAGCAAGTGATCAATGTTCTTTTCTAATCTAGTGCTGCTTCTTTGCCATTTTCAGATCAGTTGCAGAATTTTCACGAATTCCTGTAGTAGTGACCAACCAAGTGAGATCTCAAAGTCGTGATGAGACTTCCCACTATTCTTTCCAAGGTATCGTGGTGCACTGAAGTCGTTTGGTATTTTTTCCTATAAAATAAACACAGCTTTTATTAATAATGACGGGAGCTTTTCTTTGCTCATCTTAAACAAATAAATATATTTTGAGCGACAATAGGGATCATTGCCATAAATTATGCTTGGTTCCATGTCACCAAAGCATGTTTGCTTGCACATTCATCCCTGAAATTAATGGGTAAAATGTGTTCATGTGCTAAATTTATGAAAATTTATTCATTCAAGAAGTAAATTACAGGTTTTTGTTGAGATTATTATAAGATTCTGAGTTGTTTCTCAAGGAAAATTAGGAAAACTAGATATTGATAACCACCCTTGAGTTTCCACTGATAATAACCACATATCACCTGGTGAGAAGGAGGAGGAGAATGAACAAGAGAGAGGAGAAGAGGAGTGAAACGAACGGGGAGACCAGTGAATTTCCGAGTTTGGTGTTTTACTGGAAGTTCAGAACTGATTCCTCTCTCTTGTTTGTCCGCATATACGGAATAAGCTGAACTCTCTGGGCCCTCAATTAGATCAAGTCACCCCTACTATTATTCTGCAACGTCAAAAGTGAAGTCACCCTATGCTTAACTAAACGCTGTCATCTCAAAACACCCGAATTGAATTCAGTTTTACCCTAATTTAGAACGTCTACTCCAGCTCATTACATTCCTTCTGCCTTTGGAATCATACTCGACCTCGAGCAAGCTGTTGCTAGATAAACTCTGGAAACTAAGCTTGATTACCTTCCTATCTTCTTGTGTTGCTTCTTTTTGAGGTAAATTTTCCCATTGCACAAGTATCTTCGGTGAAATTCCATTGTTTTCTTTCACCAGTTTCCGCTGTAGTATTGCAATAGGTCGAGTCAAAGCTGTCCATCTGCTTTGGTCGCCAGGAGAAGCTGTTGTAGAGATACACGCGGTCCAATCTTCATTTTCAACAATCAAGCATGAAATTACAAGGTGTAGCTGAGAATTTTCAGGAAATTGTAGTGCATAAGCAACAGGTCCTACCTTTTGTTACTTCACATGGCCCATAAAACTTCGGATGCTGTTGTGTCACATGTTGGTTGAGAAAATGGGTTGTGATGTCCTTATAATAATTTGGGCAATCCTCACGTATGAGCTAGCTTATGTGGGTTGAGTTAAACCCAATGTCCTTTTTTTAAAATGGTACCAGAGTATATTTTAACAGGTAAAACTTCCTTTTCAGAGCTGAGCAGAGTCGATCGTCCAGAAGCTACCACAAATCTTGATTCTCATCTTGTTGCTGCTTTAGGGATCCACTGGGCTCATGCTGTTAGCATTCGTCTTGTATTTGAATCAAGATCAGGTTTGATTCTTCTTTTCTCAGAATTGGTGATCCTGAATTTTTGTTTTGCTGTTGATTTTCTCTGTCCTTACTCTATTGATAGGAAAATTGTGTTTTTGTGGTCTTGAAACTCGCCTTTGTGCTCACCTTTGGTTCTGATGTGTCAGCAATCTGCTTACCTCGCAACCCATAAAATTAGCTCGAGTAAATAAGTACTGTTACTATATTTTTGTTTGTTGGTCTTTAACCGTCTACATGCTCTTCTGGATTCTGGTATCTGAAAAATCACTGCAGACAGATTATGCGAGGGAGAGGAGTTGATTGGTGTACAATTGGATGGCGGTCGGAACTGGTTTCTTCGATAAAATTTATATCTTTGTATTCTCCAGGACATTGTTACTCCAAGCTTACGCCAAAAGCCAGCACCTGATAATTAGCAGAATTTATTTGTAATACGGATAACAACCCACGGATATGTAACTAGAAGAAAATGAAAGATTTGGAAGCAAAGAAATTCGTCAAAGTTATTATTTGTCTTGCGATAGGTCCTATTTTGCGTTCGGCATGCTTGGACACTACTGCAGAAGTAACCTCATGCTCATTTATGCTCTCAAATTTTGTATTGCTTTCTTAGCATATCTTGTAGATAGAAGTTGGTTAGAGGGTTTCGATCCTTAATATTTGGTCTTACAACTTGAACAGGCAAATTATTGCGGTGGTTCATAACTTCTAAGAATGATACATTGGAGTCTCTATATAGAGCTTACAGTTTTGTTGCTGACTTAAACTTTCTGATTCATGAGTAGACTGCAGATTAATATAGATAAATGGGAGTTGCTGATGCTCTCTTCCGTCTTTCAGGTCAAAGGTTCATAAAATTAGCAAAATCTCCACTATCTCCACCTCTTGCATTCCCTTTCAACATAACTTCTTCTGGGATTTCATTGCTTAATGATGATGGAGTGGAAATGCCAGGGCCAGAGATACATACAATACATTGTCAAGGTCTGATTTAAAGTATACTACTTGCCTTTTTGTTTGTGGGTGGGGGTGTTTGCAGGGGCGGATCCAGCCCTTTGGTACCAGGTTCAACTGAATCCAGTACTTTTGGCGTGGAGCATAAATTTATATGTAAAAGTTCACTAAAATTGCAGCATATAGTAGATATGAACCCATAACTTCAAAAATATAATGGGTTCAAAGCTAAAAACCTTAAAAGTTGAACCAATAGAGTTTAAATCATGTATCCGCCTCTGGGTGTTTGGGTAGTGGCGTTATTCCAATTTGTTGTTTCAAGCATACATCCATGATATAGAAAAGAAGACACAATATCATCGAGAAACAATAGGAAGAAACAAATCGTTGATTAGAGAACAGTTCCAGGCTTTCTGAACTATGTGGATTCATTTTTATGACAAATAATAACAGCCTTATGTTTGGCCTATTGCTTGGAAGTTGGAATCTCTATAGTTTCTGTCTAGTACATTTTGTCCATTTCTCCCTGTAAGAGTTATAGTATCATCCAATAACGTAAATTCGCGTGTTTTAAGTAAGTGCAAAATTCCAAAAATGTCATTTGATCATATGTTGCTTCCAAGTTACTAGTATTGATAACCCTCATCGAATCTCTATACATAATGCAGGTCACAGCAGCATTATTAATGTCGGAAGCGAAATGATGCATTGAGCTTCAGAAGCAATGCTCCCTTGCTCTATGTATAGGTGCGCTGCTAAACTTCTTATTCTTACACTGGCACATTCTTCCTTTTCTCTAAATCCTCGGACTTTCACTTGGTTGAATCTTAAATCCCTTGATCATATCATTTTTAGGTGTAAATTCCATCACTCGACGAACAACAAATGATCAACTTTTACATGAAAATTCTGTTGGTAGTATGTGGGCTTCTTCAAATTAAGGATTCACAACTCCCTCAGATCCATTCTGCTGATAGTACCCCCTCACAGGGGACGTAGTAACATAACTTGATGGCGCTTGCCCCCGTCTCGCCTCCATTACATAGCTCACATTGTGTGGGTTTTCCTCTCAGGCCCCTTGAACAACTTGACCATATTCTTACTCTTAGAGATTCATTCATTAATTTTGTTTATTCGGACACGAATCGTGCTCTCTTTTTGACTGCCATACTGATGTGTATAAACTGTAATTCTTATTTGTGAGTGAAGGGATGTTGAAGTGCTTACCATTAATTATTCTGTATGGCTTTTCTAGTCTCCGAAATTGGTGTATTTTTCAACTTCTGTATGACTGCTCTGGCTTGCTTCTGTGCAACATGTTAGGACAACTAAACATTAGCAAATGTAGATTATATCAACGAAGCTTGTTATGAGTACCCAATCTTGCCGCAAAAAAAGCTTGGTATTTATGTGGAGAAGAATAAGGGGGCGGACGCATCATCCACCGAGTTTAGGACCATGTGCCACCAACTCTTGGGGATTTCTCGGCTATCACGAGTTTAGGACCATGTGCCACCAACTCTTGGGGATTTCTCGGCTATCAAAAGAAGGATTATATCGATGAAACTTTTGCACTTGTTTTACACGTTCAATTGACCTTAGTTCAAATTAATTAAATTTTACATTCATTGTAGTTTAACTAGATATAGCAAGTTATCTGAAGATTTTTCTAAGTAACTCATGTTCAAGATTTACAATTACTTGTAGTTGGCTTTACATAACCTAATGCTCATTCAAAAGTTAAAAGGAATTTTTACCTCCTATAGCAAAGGTTAACACCTTATTTATTTTAAATAAATACCATTTCAAAAAATTATATTCTATAGATACCTTTTAATGTTTATAGCAAAATATCTAACTTTGGTTACCTTCTACCCCTAAGCCACTAAATACGCTATTCAGTTACACTATTTTCTTTCTCTCTCTACTTTGATACATGCCATTCTCTTCCCCCATTCCCTGAAAACACGATGCTCAATCTCAAAATTTCTCTCACCCACATCACCTACCATTAGTCATAAACGGTGATTTTGCCTGGTATACCACGAAGACTTCTCTGAAATTCAAAGGAAAGACTAACTAGGTACTCAACCATGAAACCGACGTTGTAGACCCACGTTCCCCAAATTCTCATAATTAATCCAATCGTAAAAAGCCGTAGCCCCACTATTCTCGCCTCCACGTCTTCACCCACATACAAATTAGGGTTTGTTCTTGAACAAAGACGACAGAGTTTGGGGCTAAGCAACTTGATTTTCTGTTAATATATTTTAATGTATTTTCAACGTATCACACTGTATTTTCATGTATTTCATTGTATTCATTGTCTTTTTTTCCATTGTAATTCAATGTATCTCGCTGTATTCCATGTATTTCATTGTATTCACTGTCTTTTTTTTTCTTTGTATTTTCAATGTATCCCGCTGTATTCTATGTATTTCATTGTATTCATTGTCTTATTTTTCATTATAATTCAATGTATCTCACTGTATTCCATGTATTTCATTGTATTCACTGTCTTTTTTTTCATTGTATTTCCAATGTATCCCGCTGTATTCTATGTATTTCATTGTATTCACTGTCTCGCTATATGCCATGAATGTATTCATTTTTTTTAATTAATATAATTTATGTATTCAGATGTATTATATAATTTCTCTGAAGATTGCTATGTTTTTGGGGTATTTTTCGGTTGAGAATATTTTTTATAACTGGAAATACAAAATTCGTGTGTTATAATTGAGTTTGTTGAGTTATATTAGGAGTCTATTATGTTAATTGATTCACTTTTCGTTTAAAAATAATGTAATCCCCTGTTTCACGCTATGAATACAGTCGAATACAATAATCTGTCCAGCTGTAGTCCCGTGTTTCACGCCATAAATACAGTCGAATACACTCGAATACAACAACTAATTAGCTGGACTTCCCTGATTCACGCCTATTTTTGCTACTGTATTCATGAATACAATAGCTTAAATACATCTAATACATCTTATAACAACAGAAAACGTATCTACAATCCGTAATATAGAAAATGGTATCTATAGATAGCTAATTACCACTAAAAGATGTAAAAATAGCACGGTATAGCCAGTTTTCGGACTTGTCAATCAAAAATAGCCAGCGTTTACCAAGTCAATGAAAAATAGCCACTATTTTGCTGCAATAGAGACCGGTCCAGCATAATATACTGGAGTTCGGTGCACTTGTGTATGAACTCCAGCATATTATGCTGGACCGGTATACTTTGCTGGCTCCAGTATAATATACTGGAGACTGGAGCACCGGTGCTCCAAACTCTAGTATACTATATTGGACCAATATACTTGCTGGAACTCCAGTATATTATGCTGGAGTTCTAGTGTACTTATGCTGGAACTCCATCATATTATGCTGGAGTTCCAGCATACTTATTCTGGAACTCCAGTATAATATGCTGGAGTTCAAGTATACTTATGCTGGAACTCCAGCATAATATACTGGAGTATTTTCCGGGTTTTGAACAGTGTTTTCGCTCAGATTTATCTTTATATAAAAAGTGGCTAAATTTCGATTACTTTTGAAATTGGGCTATTTTTGAACGACCAGTTGTAAATCTGGCTATTTTTAAAATTTACCCCTAAAAGATAGTGCTTTATGAAAAGAGAAATTTTCATAAAGCACTATCTTTTAGTGATAATTAGCTATCTATAGATACCATTTGCTATATTACGGATTGTAGATACGTTTTCTGTTGTTATAAGATGTATTAGATGTATTTTAAGCTACTGTATTCATGAATACAATAGCAAAAATAAGCGTGAATCAGGGAAGTCCAGCTAATCAGTTGTTGTATTCGAGTGTATTCGACTGTATTCATGGCGTGAAACATGAGATTACAGCTGGACAGATTATTGTGTTCGACTGTGTTTGACTGTATTCACGGCGTGAAACAGGGGATTACACTGTTTTTAAACGGAAAGTAAATCAATTAACATAATAGACTCCTAATATAACTCAACAAACTCAATTATAACACACAAAATTTGTATTTCCAGTTATAAAAAAGATTCTCAACCGAAAATACCTAAAACACATAGCAATCTTCAGAGAAATTATATAATACATTTGAATACATAAATTATATTAATTAAAAAAACCATATGAATACATTCATGGCGTATAACGAGACAGTGAATACAATAAAATACATAGAATACAGTGGGATACATTGAAATACAATGAAATAAAGACAGTGAATACAATGAAATATATGGAATTCCGCGAGATACATTGAATTACAATGAAAAAAATACAATGAATACAATGAAATACATGAAAATACAGCGTGATACGTTGAAACTACATTGAAATATATTAACAGAAAATCAAATTGCTCAACCCCAAACTCCGTCGTCTTTGTTCAAGAACAAACCATAATTTCCGCGTGAATCCGCTGTCGAGCAAAAACCCTGAATCTCAATGAGCCGAAATTCAGATTTACATAGACAACAACTTTTGAGAGCAGCTCGGTGACAAGAGCTTTGAGATATATGTCTATATTAGTTATCTGTTCTCTTTTGTTAAAACAAATTAAAAATTAAAATAATTTTGATGTGCAGAAAAAGTCAAGGGTGAAATATCTGCGTCGGTCAAGGAAATGCAGCTTGGGGAAAAGAAGATTAAAAGAAGAGGAAGAGATGGAGATATTGATGGGATTAATAGACTTAAAAGTAGTGTCAAGAGTATTGAGAATGAGTGAACTGAATGATGAACAGTTGCATTGGTGCGAAGACAAGACGAGCAAAGTTAGAGTTTCTGATGGAATTGAAAACGAGGATGAGAGACACGAAACGTGGGATTTCTCAGGGAATGGGGAAGAGAATGGCATGTATCAAAGTAGAGAGAGAATGAAAATTGCGTAACTGAATAGCGTATTTAGTGGCTTAGGGGTAGGAAGTAACCAAAATTAGATATTTTACTATAAAGATTAAAAGGTATCTATATAATATAATTTTTTAAATGGTATTTATTTAAAATAAATAAGGTGTTAACCTTTGCTATAGGAGGTAAAAATTCCTTATGAAAATTTCTCAAAGTTAAAGGGGCTTTTCAAGTCTGATGGGCTGGTTCTAGTGCAGCCCTCAAGTTTAATGGGATTTTTACATTCCTATGCCACATAGGAAACCTTATTACCCTCAATGTTTAAAGTTTGATTTAATTATACTTAGTATACCAAATTACCAATCCTGTACCATACTTAATTAAGGGTCTAATTAATGGGCAATTTTTACTCCTTAATTAAAGGTGTCCATATATCCCACGTTTCTCTATCCCCCTAATTCCTAAGACCTGCTCTACTTGGAGAATTTTTTAGGGCCCAACCCTTATTCCGTTCTTCGTCAACTATGTCCATCTCCTTTAAATCATCTGGACTACCAGACCCTTCCTTCAACTTAATTCCATCCTTTTCCGTTCGAAGCTTCTCAAGTAGAGCGGTAATTGACACAAACATAGATGTGCCATTGGCATTCCATTTCCTTGTATGGTTGGCTATGTCATGTCTAATATGGTTCGAACTTGGAATTAGGAGAACAGAAAAGATGTGGTGTCCTCCAATATGAATTTCGACATCCGGATGCAATGTCACTTTTAGTAGCTGAACAAATAGCTCTTCAGGAAACACCTACAACAATTAAAAGATAGTTAAATACAAATGTTGATGTTCATCTCAAAATTCTATACAATATTTATCTTCAAACCAATGAATTTCAAATTGAAACTCGAAGAAGAAGAAGAAGAAGAAGACATGACATACATTATATTGCAGCAATTGTAGATAAATTGTAGAAGATTTGTAGATAAATTTTAGACTGTTTTTTGCAGAAGATTTTGTAGAAGTTTTAGTCGTTTTGGATTTGTGAAAACAGAAAACAATGCATCTACAATAAGAATACAAATAATCTACAATTTATCTACAAAATATCTACAAACTGGATACATTGAATTTTAATATCCCAATTCCTATCCAATTGTAGCATAATTGTGATTTTTGACATAATTACGTTAATTCAGAAGATTTGTAGTAAGTTTTATCCGTTTTTAATTGTGAAAACAGAAATAAAGCATCTACAATCAGAATACAAAAAATCTACAATTTATCTACAATTTATCTAATATGTCTTCTTCTTCTTCTTCGAGTTTCAATCTGAAATTCAGTCAAAACCAAGTCTAATCTTCACCAAAACCCCTCA